GCTTTCTCCCTCTCTTGCTCCCCTTCTCGCCTCTCTCTCCCCCTTTCCACCTCTCTCTCCCCCTTCTCCCTCTCTCCCCCCTTTCGCCCCTCTCTCCCCCTTTCTCCCTTTCTCTCTCCCCCTTTCTTCCCTCTCTCTCCCCCTTTCTCCCTCTCTCTCCCCTCTTTCTCCCCTCTCTCTCCCCCTTTCTCCCTCTCTCTCCCACCTTTTCTCCCTTCTCTCCCCCTTTTCTCCTCTTCTCCCCCTCTCCCTCTCTCCCCCCTTTCTCCCTCTCCCCTTTCTCCCTCTCTCTCCCTTCTCCTCTCTCTCCCTTTCTCCCTCGCTTCCCCTTTCTCCCCTCGCTCTCCCCCCTTTCTCCTTCCGCTCTCCACCCTTTTCTCCCTCCCCTCTCCCCTTTCTCCCTCTCTCTCACTCTCTCCCCCCGGACCTTTCTCCCTCTCTCTTCACTCTCTCTCCCTCTCTCCCCCTTTCTCCCTTCTCTCTCCCTCTCTCTCCCTCCCTCTCCCCCTTTCTCCCTCTCTTCCCCCTTTTCTCCCTCTCTCCTCCCCCTCTCTCCTCTCTCTCTCTCCCTCCTCTTTCCCCATTTCTCTTTTCTGTTCTCTTTGTGCAACAAATGTTATATAGTCAATATTAGTGTATTGAGCAGTTTAGCGTTCAGGTTAAACAGAATAGAAAAATCAAGTGGATACATTGCTCTCTTTTAATCTATGTTTCTTTTTTTACTTTCTCTCCTCCTGCCTCTAATATTTTGATGTGAAAGAATAAAACTTGTTGCCTAGAGAAATAGTATTCTACAAAAAATATAAATGGCCAGATTTCAATTTTTTTTATTACTTTTTTCATCTTCCAATCTGGCACTAAAACTGGCTCAAAATAATAACAGTTTTGAAATAACTTTCTCGTTTGTTGTAAAATAAGATTATGCACAAAAATACTATTCATATTGTACTGCAGCAACAAAACTAATTTTAGTTCAAATGTACTTCGAAGTAACTTAAAATACTTTAAAAAAGACTATATGTTCAGTTTCATTAGTGTCATTTTCCAGTCCTATCTCATTTATTAGTTTTTTATTCTCCAGCTGAACAATTAAAAACCGTATTATGGTGTTGCAATATTTATCTTTATTATATTTATTTATGATGCAGGTTAAGTATGGTAGCTTGTGGTTTCATGAGTGGTGTGCTAAAATTTATGATGTACCAGCAAAGAACTCATATGCTTAAAAACAACATTATTATTCAGTAAACTTTCCACTTACCTGTTTTTTTTATTTTGTGTTTCCATACTGTGACTTACATTCGAAAAAAATTTATTGCAAGGCATATCATATATTGCTGACATCATTTGTGACAATCCACATGCACTAAATAAATTCAACAATTCACTGCCTATTTCTTCTCGTCAACCAGTAGATAATGTGAAAAGTTTACAACTGCATTTTGATGGCATTCTTTAGAACCTTATTTTTAGTTGCAATTAGTTGTTGAAGATATATATTGTAGTCAAAACTTATAAAAATATTTGATATATTAATTGTAAAATCCTTGATCCACTCTGTTGGGTTTTAGACATCCAAATGATTCTGAACACTCTACATTACCATAGCTTCTGAGAGGCCTCCCTTAGCTCAACAAGGTCAATGGAAAGAGCCTCCTCCTCTTCTTCTGCTTCTCTTCTTCTTCTTCTTCTTCTTCTTCTTCTCTTTTTCTTCTTTTTCTTCTTTTTTCTTCTTCTTTCTTTTTCTTCTTTTTCTTCTTCTTTCTTTTTCTTCTTTTTCTTTTTTCTTCTTCTCTTCTTTTTCTCTTTTTCTTCGTTTCTTCTTTTTCTTCTTCTTCTTCTTCTTTTTCTTTCTTTCTTCTTTCTTCTTCTTCTTTTTCTTCTTCTTCTTCTTCTTCTTCTTCTTCTTCTTCTTTTTCTTCTTCTTTTTCTTTTTCTTTTTCTCTTTTTCTTTCTTCTTCTTTTTCTTTTTCTTTTTCTTCTTCTTCTTCTTTCTTCTCTCATTTCTCTTCTTTCTTTTTTTTCTTCTTCTTCTTTTTCTTCTTCTTCTTCTTTTTCTCTTCTTCTTTCTTTCTTCTTCTTCTTCTTTTCTTCTTCTTCTTCTTCTTTTTCTTTCTTCTTCTTCTTCTCTTTTTCCTCTTCTTTTTCTTCTTCTTCTTTTCTTTTTCTTCTTCTTTTTCTTTCTTTTTCTTCTTCTCTTCTTCTTCTTTTTCTCTCTTCTATATTCTTATTCTTATTATTATTTATATTATTATTATTAATTATATTTCTTTTCTTCTTCTTCTTCTTTCTTCTTTCTTCCACTTAGTTTCTTCTTATCTTCTCCTTCATCTGTCAATAATTCATTTTCTTTCTAAACTATGTAGATATGATTGATGATGATGTGTATGACTGATTAAATAAAGGCTAATTTAGTAGCAGCAGTGAATAATTGGAATAAAATGTCTAATTTAAAAACACGTTTTAAATAGAACTATAAAAAAGTGTCACCATTCTGAATTTTTTATTGGTGTATTTTTAGTGTTGAAAAATTGAATTGAATTTCTTTCTGTATTTAATATGTTTATCTTTTTGTTTCTATTAATGTCATTGCATTCTAGATAATAAACCATTGAATGTGATGTTCAATTGGATTCATTTAACTGCACGTTCTTTTGCATGGAGAAAGAGAGAGTATGAACTCATGCCCGAGTTAATTTCGGACAGCCCAGATGTCTTACCAGGGCTGGTGCCAATGGCCTGGGCCACACTGAATCCTCGTACCTGCCTGTCGCTAGCCCCCCACTCAGCAGCCGCCTCATCTGTCGCGGAACGCCCCTGCCCTTCTGTCGGACCCCCAAAGAAGTAGCCCCGCCCGGCCCTCGAGCGCACACCACCGACACAAGAGACCAGCAAGGAGCCCAGCCCGCTCAGAGATCAAAAAAAAACTAAAAGCAAGAAAAAAAAAGACAAAAACCAAGCAAAAGCACAAACCAAACCGGACCGGGGGCCGGCCAAGGAGCGAAAAGAGAACCGCACAACGGACCAGCAAAGCCATCAAAGGCAAAAGCCCGGAAGAGAAAGGCACGGAAAAAAAAACACCCACAGCACCGCAGACCAAATACAACATATATACACCAAGCAAGCACCCACGTACAGACGCGACAAACTCAAACAAGGACAAAAGACAAAATAACGAACAACAGAAAAAAACGTAACCCGGAACACAACATACTCTCATAAGCAACAAAAATCGGGACAAAAGAAAAAAGAACCAAAAACAGAAGAGAGAGGTGAAGGGCCCGAAAGAGTCAACTGCCCAGAAGGAAGGGAGAAGGATGCACAGGACCGTGAACAAAAAAACTAATACAACGAGACAAGAGAAAACCCGAAACATACAAGAACAAAAACAGAAACAGACGATCACAGCGACGAAGAACCAAAGACAGCGCATGCGCCAACGACCGAGCACGCCGTATAGCACACAATGACCACACAGCAAGCACCCGATCCCGGAATGGTACTGCGTAAAATAAAAGACCAGACCAGGAAAAACAGCTAGCTCTATGTAAAGATACAGCAGGACTCCGAGCCCAAGCAACGCAGGTATACAAGCCGACTCACCCTGTGCCAGCAGTGGCCGAGTAGTACCTAAATTACCTTATATACATGCAGTGAAGTAAAGGCCCTTGATTCAACCTCGAGCAGTGTGCGTGTTGAAAGAATACGAAATGTTTCAGAAGGCGCAAAGAAAGAAGTGGCAAAACGACGCCACAGGTGAGGGCAAGACAAATGAGCTAAAGAGATAAGCACGCAGCTTCAAAGCCAAAACAGGCCACACGGTAGAAATGTAGAGCCGGACCAAGACAGTCAATAAACCGTGCTCATTAACCTCACGAACAAACCGGGGGTGCGAGTGAAAAGAACACCGAAAGGCAGGCGCACAAGGCAGCGTCGGAACAAGAGGCCGAAAAAAAAGAAAACCGAAAAATGATCTATATCTCTGCTAGCGCAGCCTGATAGCCTGTCTAGCTGTGTGAGCAGAAGATAGGAGAAAGCAAAACCCAAAAATGAAGCAAAACAGGCCATTGATGAACCAAAAGCAGAACCTTCGAGCCCCGGTAAAAAGAAAGCACCTACGCCGAGGTGTCAAACTGTCAAAACCTGTAACGAATTCACCAATATTGTCACCCCACGAAAAATGGCAACAACACAAATGGTCCTAAAAACACTACGCAACCACCTCACCAAGTTATCCCTGAACGACCCAATACCCAAACAGTAGATTATCTGACAACAGATGCATTCACTTGCCCCCTATAAAATCCGAGTGTTTACAAAGAACTTGATAGAAGAGGTTAGGACTAATACGATAGAAGAGACTTAGCAGTCATATTACCAACATGATCTAACAGGCATATTCTTGCCCCGCTTAAAGCCTACACAGTGTCGACCCACCAATACATTCGCCTCTACCCATGCAATGCTCTACTGATGCCTTGCAACTACAGGCGGACCCCAGCGCAACTTACTCTTGCAAACGAGCCCACTCGCGCATCATTTCGCAGAGCCGCGCCCCACTCACGACACCACCACCAGGCACACATGCCCTCCCACAGAGACACCAGTAAAACCAGATAACCCTCTCGTCATCCAAGTAATGGCTCCCTGCGCCAACAACCACCTAGATTAAGGCTCCCACCAATCATACTCAAAAGTAATTGTAGAAAAAAGCTACAGAGTTTTCACAAATGAGCAATACGCATCTACAAATATTTCATTGCTATTAACACTCCACATTATTTAATCACTCTGTCGATGATAGTTCAACAAAATATAGCAATAAATTAATCGACAAATCCACACTAAAAGCAAAAATTATCTGAAATCCGTTAATCAACCAACATAATAAAGGTAGCGTTCTTCAGCATAAACTCTCGAGCAAGAGGACCGAGTTCCTTCACACTCCAGTCACACTCTCTCCAATCTAAAGCTCGACGTACCACCTTACACAAGCGCAGCCGATCTTGCACTGACATCTCTGCGCCAACATCTTGACCCCGCCAAGCCCGCCCCACGCAACCGCACAGAACGCCCCGAGTAAACACTGCCACCAATCTCTGCCAAGAAGGAGTCTGATTCACTGTTGCCTAAGTAAGAGGTTGTCCAACTGATGGTCCACAGCAGCATGCGGCCAAAGCAGTTCAAATCCTATTATGGCCTCGAAAGCTAACTACTTCTAGCAGAGAGAATAAAAGTCCCCGATTCCGCCATCCATATAGCCAAGTGAGAACTTTGTGCACCCGCTTGCACTCTGCCGGGGTCAACACCCCCTTTAGTAATAATGTAGATCTGTTTAGATTTAGATTTTTCTACCCCGCAAAATTCAAGAAATCTTCAAAATCCATGGGCCCCCCATAAGTTTCGCTGCATCTAACGGATTGATCGGGGGCCCACACCACACCTAGACACACTCCATTTCAACCTCCTCCCTGATTCAGAGCAGCCGAGCGCAATACTGCCACCAATCAAGCAGTCATGCTGCGAGCCCAGTGTGAATTCGCCCCGCGCCCCCGAGCTACCCATAAAACAGCCGCGAACCCCGCCCCAACACCCTGACGTTCAAACCGGTCTGATAATCCTGTAATCCCTTCGCCTTGAAGTTGACATCTCGGGTTTAGGTATTTGCAATGCCAGTTTGACTACACTATCACATTTCTTTTAATTTTTATTTTAGTGAATTCTCTTCTCTTCTCTTCTCTTCTCTTCTCTTCTCTTCTCTTCTCTTCTCTTCTCTTCTTTTCTCTTCTTTTCTTCTCTTCTTTTCTTCTTCTTCTTCTTTTCTTCTTCTTCTTCTTTTCTTGTCTTTTCTTCTTCTTGTCTTTTCTTCTTCTTCTTTTCTTTTCTTCTTCTTCTTTTCTTGTCTTTTCTTCTTCTTCTTCTTCTTTTTCCTTCCACTTATTTTTCTTCTATCTTCTCCTTCATCTGTCAATAATCTTATTTTCTTTCTAAGACTATGTAGATGATGATGATGATGATGATGATGAGTAAATAAAGGCATTTAAGTAGCAGCAGTGAATAATTGGGATAAAATGTCTAATTTAAAAACACGTTTTAAATGGGAACTATTAAAAAAGTGTCACCATTCTGAATTTTTTATTGGTGTATTTTTTAGTGTTGAAAAATTGAAATGTGAATCTCTTTCTGTATTTAATATGTTTATCTTTTTGTTTATGGTAATGTCATTGCATTCTAGATAATAAACATGAATGTGATTTCAATTGGTTCATTTATGCTGCAGGTTCATTTTGATGGATGGGAAGAGGAGTATGATCAGTGGTTAGATTGTGAGAGCCCAGATGTCTACCCAGTGGGCTGGTGCCAGTTGGTGGGCCACAAACTGGAAGGTCCTCGTGGCCTGCCTGTCGCTAGCCGCTGCAGTGGGTCATCTGGTTCTGGCGGAGCCTGCTCTGGTGGAAGTACTCGTGGGGCAGCAGGTCGTGCAGCTGCCAAGAAGAAAGCAACACGGCGGAGACAAAAGAGAACAACACGCACCTCGGGCCTTATGTCAAGTCGAAATAGTAATACTCGTTCTGGAGGAGCGAGCTCTACTTCTAGGACAGAGGTTCGGAACACATCTGTATCTGCTTTATCTACTACTCTTGTAGAGGTGAGTTCAGTTCTGATTCTTTCTGCTTTACGTTTCCTCACATTGCTGTTTTGAGAAGTTACATGTTTCAAGAAGAGGCTATTAGCTTGGTAGAAATTAGAACTTATCCTGGGAAGGAAAAAAAAACAAAACAATAATGAACATACCACCTTATATGTGTGTCACTTTTAACGAATTCAAGGAATATTGTCACACTGGAAGAAAATGGAAGAACACAATTGGTTAAAACTACGCAACCACCTCATTTACTGACGAATTACCAAACAGTAGATTTGAAACAGGATCTCATTTCACTTCCTCTATAATTTGATGTTTTAAAGGAACTTGTAGAAGAGGGTAGGATATTGTAGAAGGAACCTTGCATTCATTACAAAGTTACAGGTATTGCTTAACTCATTGTTTGCAATCGTTGTACCATGCAATGTTTGAGCTGCAACTACAGGGGCAACTACTGCTGGCAAGGGCCCTGGATCATTTGAGCCTATAACACACACATGGCAACTGTACGAAGACAATACGCGAGACAATTGGTCATCCAAGTAATGGCTGCCACCAGATAGATTAAGCTAAGAATCATACTCAAAAGTATTGTAATGGCTACAGTTTTTTCTACAACTGAGAATACGGTATCTACAAATATTTATTGCTATAAAACTCATATTATTTGTATTTCTGTGTGATGATAGTAAAATATAGCATAAATTAATGAAGAAATAATAAAAGAAAATATAAGATCTTAATAAAATGATAAAGTAGTTTTCAGATAAATGTGGAAGAGGACAGAGTCCTTCACAAGATGATGCCTTGGTGATTAACTGCGTATATTAAAAAGAGCATTTCATTGATTCTCAAATTTGAGGTGACAACACTGCAAATTCTGAAGAGTCTGATTCACTGTTGCCTAAGTTAAGGCAGGGTTGTCCAACTGATGGTCCACAGCAGCATGCGGCCAGCAGTTCCAATTATTGTGGCCTGCGAAAGGTTATTTAGCAAAAATAAAAGTCCCTTGCATCCATATAGGGTGTGCACCTAGTGCTTGCACTCTGCCGGGGTCAACACCCCCTTTAAGTAATAATAGTAGATTGTTTAGATTTAAGGATTTTTCTAGAAAATTCAGAAATTCAAAATCATCCCAATATGTTTCGCTGCATTATTCATGATCGGGCCTAACACCTATGATTACATGGTTCCATTCAACCTCCTCCCCTGATTTAGAGCAGCCGAGCAAACTGCCAAGATCAACAGTATGTGGAGGTCAGGTGTGAATTGCCCGAGTAATAAAAACATGGTACCCAACCATATTAAAGGTGATAATTGTAATCCCTTCTGGCCTTGAAAGTTGGACATCTCTGGGTTTAGGTATTTGCAATGCCAGTTGATGATACACTATCAATTTTCTTTTAATTTTTATTTTTAGTGTAGGGTGGGTTAGAATTACAGATTAGGTTCATTGCTTGTATGTTCAATTTTCAAGGATGTGGTCTTCTTACTATATTTATATATTACCGTTTTAGTGAAATGAAGATTATCAAGTAATTGGCAATGTTTTTATTTTGAGGAAACTGATAAATGTGTTCCATGACTTTTTTCTCATCATCTAAAACATCATAACTTCAGAGAACATAACATTTGAGGATTTAAAAAAACTCATTTCATTATTTTCTTTGCAGAATATGTTGAACATTTTCTGGGATTTTTAAAAATTATGTAAATATTTATCAAAAGTGTTTGTTTTGACAAGAGAGGATTTATAAAGTTAGGTTAATTTGAATGTCGTCTTCAAGGAGTTCAAAAAGAATATTTGTCTCATATTGTGGATGCTCTTTCTTGGTTATTGTCATCCAGGAGTAATACACTATCATTGTTATCCTTGGGAAATCTATTTCACAGAATTTTTGTTTGTACGATCTTTTATAATTGTGTATAATTTAAGTACTTAAAAAATTGTCAAGTGAGAAAATGGTCACTGTCAATATTGCTTTCAATAATCAATTCTTCAAGGCTTTACGCATCTTGTTATTTCGATGTGATTGCAATACTAATGTTATTTAACAAGAAATTCGGTCAGACATTCAAGCTTCTTTTTGCAAGGGCTATCGGATGTTCAAAGATCCTGTCATAGAGTTTGATAAACATACCATCTTTTAATTTCACCTCTCAGTTACTTTAAAAGAAAAGAAACACTATTGTTTCTAAAGCTTTAATAAATGTGTTCATTAAACACTGTTAAATATAATCCTTGGTGTGTCTCCAACCTAATATGTTGCATGTTTTTTCTTGTGTTGAGGGCGGATCTGAAGGTTGTTGTTCACATCAGTATTTATTGCAGACTCAGCAGCCCTGTTGGCAAGGCAAACGGGATATTTTTTTTCTCATGTTATTGTCCAAGAAGTTAACAGGCTATCATGGTATAATAGTAGTTGCTGTAATTTTGCAGGTTCATCTGTAGTAGAATTGCAATTTTACTAAGTATCTAAACATCAATATTATTGTAGGGCAGTGTTGTTCAATGATAATTTATTAAAAAAATACACCTCTATATTCATGAAAAATTGGAAATTTAAGATTAACTTGTAAATGATTAATCCTTCTTGCTCACTGCCTTAATTTGGATGAGTTTTTATTCAGAATTATTTTTTATTTGTGTTAGAGCTTTGCAATTTATCATGCATAATCTGGCACTGCAGCCTTCTTAATGTTCTAAAATCTGCATTTGTAATTTGTCATCTGATGTAAGCTTATCTAATACTTTTTATTTCATTTTTAATTTGTTTTTTTTATAGAAAAAGGGATTGAAAATATTTTGAAAATTTGTTTATTTTATTACAGTTGAGTGAAGATGAGGATATGATAGATGATGTTCCAAGAGAAGTTGAAATGAACACTGCCAGAAAACTTAGTTTCAAAGTAGAGGTGAAAGACGAGCCTGGTGTTGTGCCCAAGACTGACATAACAATCACTGAGCAAGCCTCCCCAGCTACTGCTGCCATTCCAAGCACCCCTGCAGTAGCTGCCACACCTGCTGTTACTCCCACCACCTCTCCCACTGCTGCCACTTCGGTATCTGGCAGCTCTCCTTCCAATCTCGGGGCGGGTACCCCACCACCTCGAGGTCGCACTGCCACTTCATACATACAGCAGAACAGCAGCACCAAGTTCATTCCCCGTTTGGTGGATGGAGGCAGTGGACCAACAGAGCCTGGGGAATTAACTCCAGCTGAATGGAATGTATTTGATGTTGCCCAGTTTCTTCGCGTCAACGATTGTGCTGCCTATTGCGATAGTTTCAGCAAGCGCAAAATTGATGGCCCTAAGATGTTGGCTCTGACCAAGGACCAAGTGATTGATCTCACTGGTGGGAAAGTTGGGCCATCTCTTAAAATTTACGATCTAATTCAGCAGCTAAAAATAAAAGTGAATCCAGCCCAAGAGAGAATGAAAGCAAGCTTGAAGAAACTCCTGTGAACATTGTCAGGTGAGCTTTGCCATGTACAGTTCAAGGCAATCATCAGACAACTCAGAACTCTTTATCAACAAGTTGTTTTAAGCTGTGTACTGTATATGTGAGACTTCTTAGATTTATTAACGTTTGTATTATGCAAATGAAACAATGCTGTATAGCTTGGTGTATATTTATTTTGCCCCTTCGGACTGGACCAGTCTACAAGACAATCATCCTGCTCATAGTTAACTTAATGTGACAGGGTTTCCTCTTCCCAATAACACAACTCAAGGCTTCTTATAGCCATGTGTAACTCTCAGGTATGCTTTATAATACTGTTCTGGAATTTTGTTTGAGCAGTAGTTGTAGATACAGTGGATTCTTTGAATATTTGTATCATTTACACTTTTTTGAAGTTTGGGGATAATTTTTCTCTAAGTGATATACCTTAAGAACTAAGAAAAAAAGCTCATCAAATCATCATGTATGTTTGTCAATCCTTTTAAGAATTGTAGTGTAAATATTTGTTAGAAACTATTGGATATATGCTTTCGTAAATCATTTAATAGTTACAAGTTTTAACATGAATATTGAAACACATGTGCTTTGTGCTTCTAGTACACCCCTTCCAGTGTTTACGATTGGAGTAACTCTTGAGTGTCCCATTTGTAGTTAATACAATAATGCAATTGATTAATCGATAATTTGTATATAGGTGGTTTGTTTCTTCAGGCATTTGTGTAAATTTGCATTTTTAAACAGAGAAGAACCTTCAAAAAATTCTTAATTGCCAGTTGTATTAAGTTTAGAGTGGAAGAATGAGCATTCTAATTATAATTATTTTATTCAAATTATTAATCCGAGTAATACAAATTAAGAAAGCTTTTGAATAAACTGTACCCATTACATAAAATGTATCCTAGATTGATAATCATTCTTTACATTTACAAAGTAAACATATTTGTTTTTGATATATTTGCAAAAAAATAATTTCTTGGCTTTGTGCACATCTCATTTTTGCCTAATTACTTACACTGAAGAGTCAATAGCAATATTAATTTGTTTTCTCTTTTTAGCAGATTAAAAAAGATTCAATGCAAACAATGAATATCTTCTTTTAAAAGAAAGAATTATATTATACTAGAGAAAATTGAATATTTATTTTGTTTTGTAACTTCCACATAATAGTAAAAATGAACAAATCATTTTGAACAGATTCCTTTTTTGGAAACCATTGTTGAATAAACTCATTTTTTATGAAATATTTATTACATGAGGCTCTTGTAAAGATATAGAGGTCTTATTATGCAGAATGTTTTCAGGATCTAAGAGTCTTCTTTTGTTTCTATCATTGTGTGAGAAAAGTGTTTTGGGTGTTGCACAGGAACCTGATTTTGAGAATTCAGATTTTCATCGCCTAGAAGCAACTATTCTAACATGTTGTAGCCTTTGTGATGATCTGCTGCTTGTGCAAACAGATTGATTGTTGAAATATAATTGAGAATAATATACTATAATATGTTAAATGAAGACTATAAAATATAGAAATAACATATGTTGTATAATATGTTAATATATAGGATACTTGCTATTATGAGATAAACATATTTTTTGAAGTAAATTATGTTCTTGGTACTTTATTTGCAAGTAATATGTGGTCATTTTGCAAATGCCAGTGAGGAAGTCAGAGATGGAGTTGACTAATAGGCAATCATAAATTCCAATGACTGTTGATTCTTGGTCACCCATTACATTAAAAAAAAATATTTGATGTGATAAAATGTTATTTGCTTGTGATGTTAGCACAGTAATGCTTGGACAGTAATGTTGATAGCAGCTAACATCAGTTTGATGAGAAGGTTAGAGGTTTTGGTGTGATCTTTGTCAAAATGACAATATTTTCGTTTATCACAGTGAAATCTCAGTATTTTTTCCAATTTAATTGCATACTCAAGTATTCTGATTTGGGTCATTAATGTAATGCATTTTACGTGTTTCTGTTCTTTCCATTTCTGTCCAACTGATTATTAAAAAGTCCACTTCGAACACATTCTGAAGTCTTCAGTAGTCTTTCGGGAAATGCTGCACTCCCATCTTCAGGTCTATTACAATTCAATAAAATTAGTTTTACTAACTAAACACACAAACAATAATTTAAGTAGACTTTACAAGGACTAATATAAATTGACGTGTGGAGTTGCCATTTTTTAATATAAGAAATTGTAAGAATCAACAGAAGATCTTACTGACTACTGGTATTTGTCTGACCTCCTATGAGCAGAACTTTAGCCATTGTCAGATTAACCTAAAAGGGTTTTGAAACTTCTTTAAAATCTTTTTGAAATTGAGAAGCTTATTATGTCAAGATTCATTCATTCTGTAACAATGAATTAACAATTTAAGAAAGTAGAGCTTGCCTGTTCGTGACAAACAGCTTGTTATGTCAGCTCACAGTCTTGCATGAAGTACTATGTTTGTGGACAGGAGTTAGAGTGAAAATTATTGAGCAACAATTTGTCAGTGTTATGTCTATTGGCAGATTTCAGCTTGGTTGTTCCATTCAATCCCATCCACCCATTCCATTCAAATTAAATGTAGCTGTATGCAATTGCTAAACAAATTTGAATATCACTTCCTACAGTTTAAATAAAAAACCATTGCAACATTTTTAAATATAATTTTAGGGAAAGAAATACATTGTACTCTAAGGAAAGGGACCATATCAAAATATGAGGGTGGGGGGGGGGATAACCAAATTTAAAAAAATTATAATTTCCACATTTTTAATCCAAAATGAATGAATTTTGCCATGAGAAATGGAATTCCTTCAGTATAACAGTTTAGGGAGATGTAAATTTCAGTGTTAGGGTAAACATTTGAATAATTTTAAAAATAATAATTTCTTTTTTCACAAATTTTTTTTTCACAAACAATGTGTGTGTGTGTGTGTGTGTGTGTGTGGTTTTAGTTTATTTTCTCTTTTGTAAATGTAATTAATGTTTAGGTCCAATTCTGTTCTACTCGGTAATGTTTACTTTATAGGGTAGTCAAAAATATATTGTTGTATGATTATCATATATTTTGACTATAATACTCATTGTTCCATGTTTTTGAGCATTCTGAACTCTTCATCCTATTTGTGTTTTTCTTGCATATACAATTTTCTAAATACTGGAAGTAACTGATGAAAACAATTGGTATTTTTAGAAGTCTTTTTAGGTACTCAAGTAGTGGGATATCTCTCTCCTTTATGGAGTTTGTTTTTCAGTAGTATTTGTGACCTCAGACATTGTACAAAATAGTATAAAAATAGTTGAAAGAGAGATCTATGGGGTCTTCTTCCTCAGTAGAAATGAGATGTGTACAAAATAAATTGATCAAAATGTTTAAAATATTTTATGTAATTTTTGTTAAATGAAAGCTAATATCACATTAAAGAATTAAATTAGAACAATGTGCCTGCATAGAATAAGTACAGCAAATATTATTGTGAAATAAGTACGTATTTATTACATTGCAATGCCCTGTAAGGTCTCATTTTGGTCACATCATGTTCTCTTTATTAATTAAAGAGTATGACTATTTGTGTAATTATTGAAAAAAATTGATGTTTTAGTATGAATTATTTTCTGACGATCTTGTGCATTCCTATTTTTATATTAATTGTATGTACAATAAATATATAGCAATGTAAATATATTGATATGCTTTATTCAAAAGCTTTTAAATTTGAATTTCTCTCACGTAATATTAGTATTTGCACTACCTGTCTATGTAGAACAATTGACAATAGAGGATGTATTTTTTGAAAAGGAATCGACTGTATCAATGAGTTACACATAAGAGAATGTGGTGGAAAATGTAGTCATTAAGGAAGGTAAAACATCAAACATCAACCTTAAAAGAGCTTTTTGCAGTATCTAAATTTCATTATAGTAGCAATTATTATTATTATTATTATTATTATTATTATTATTATTATTATTATTATTATTTATAATTACTTTTTTGTTATTTTTATGTGCATTATTCTAAGAATTGATAGTATTGTATGGTGTATATTAAGAAAATTAGTATTGTAGTAAGTGCACAAGTGACCTACATATATTCTAAATCACACTATATTTGCAAAATGAAAGAAAACAATTTTAATTTCAGTCATTTTTGCAGGCGAATTCTGACTGAAATGATCTCTGATTTCTATATTGCCTTTTGATTATCAAAGAAAAAGTTATCTACGTTAGTGTAATAAGCACCCCCTTCCAATTTTAAGAAGTAAGTTAACACAAAATAAGTGACAAAAATGTTTTTGTGATTACAAGTTTTTGTTGTTTGATTACTATGGACAAAGTATTATTTATAATAATTTTCTATTTTTACTCTTCTCAACAAAGTGTCCTTCATAATTTTTTGTTTTAATTTCCATTTGAAAATATTTTACTTCATAAAGGTCATATTAATCATGATATTTTAAATGTGACACAATTTCAACTTGAAATGTAATTGTAAAAGAAACATATTTTTAGACAATTGAATTTATATTAATAATTATGTTTGACAGTAATGATATTTAATTACTAATTTTTGCCTAGAGTGCAGTAAATTTCTTTTGAAAACTTAATTTTATATTGTGTCAATAGCTGCAATTTGAGAAAGTTTATACTCATAGCATGTGGTCTAAGAATCATGTCCCAATGAATTTCTATCATAATTGTATGGGAAAATTTATGCTTCGTTTTCTTAATTTTCATGTAGAGATTCATTTTTGAAGAAAGCATTGTTTGAATAGATTTCAATGGCTAATATCCAAATATTAAACTCGTTACATCAGGTTTCAAAGAATCGTAACATGCTTTTGTATATTCAAATAATTTAAAAATGCTCGCGAGTGTGAAAATTGAGAAGTGAAATCACTGAGGAGGAAAAATGAATTCCATAACTTTCACATTTCTGAAGAAAAGAGTTGATATAAACGAACATTAATTAAAACTTTGGAACAATAATTTTGTTACAGGTTGTAATAATATATATTAGGAAGAACAAAGTTGGAAAGAAAACTTAAAAAAAAGTACTTACTTTTATTCCTCAGTTCAGTAGTTTGTATTTGTTTCAATTAAAACCTTTATTTAAAAAATCTCATTACAAAAATTAACTGAATTATTGTTCCTTACAATAATTCTGAGTGTACTAGGTGCTGCTCATGCTTGCTTTTGCATTATTAAAGAATTTTCATATTCTTTTTTCAGTCTGTTGATCTCTTGTGTTGATTAGTGTGCCCATTGCCCATGATTTAGATAAGTATTCCAGAACAGTAAAATAAAGTTTTCATGTTAAGTAGAATGGCAATATTTCTTAAGAAACATTCTCTAAGAATACTGTTCAGCAGAACAGTTTTCCACACTAAATAGGAAGACCACTTTATTGTGCCCATAAGTATTTTGTAACCAAAGTATTTGCCAAATATTAGTGCAACCAGCAGGAATTAATAATATAACCAGATGTTTTGTATAAAATGTTTTTTGGAATGCTGTTTGGTTTTTTTAGCCTGGCAGGAGGTACAGTTCGAAGTGTGCTTAATGACCCTCACACAGTTAAGAAGTATGTATTCTGGAATAGAGTGTGGATATCCAAACGTTCACAATTGATTGGAAAATGGATTAGCATGCTCATGAACAAAGAATTTCTTTTCTTACTCTTCTGTGCCAACTGCGTGAAATTCATTTATAGAAGAGAACCTTCAAAGAGTAAAACATCAGTAACATTTTTGTTTGAAGGGAGTTCTTTTTCTAATTATTGTTAATGATAGCTAACTTTTAGAGCTGAAGAATGATTTTGTATGACTCATTTAGGTTCATTGTAAGAGTACATTTCTAGTTTGTGTGGACAGTGGTTCCTATATTTGTTTACCTTGAAACAAGGGTGATGTGTAGGGCACAGAAGTGAGGTGGTGTTGCTAAGAATTTTCTGTGCCATATTGTAAATTGTATCCAGGTTACTGTGCATAAGATATCATGTAAAAGAGTATGAAAAAAGTATTTTACTCATAAATCTTGTAGTGTGACAGGAGTAGTTTTCATAATAGTCTTTCATCCAATTAATGAAGACAATGCCTTGAAAGACAAATTGTTACGCACCAGGTAGAGTGGGCTGAATTTAATTCTGAAACAAATTGCACAAGTTTTGTTCGATTGAGCCTGAGATGCAAGATCAGACACAATTTGGTGTAGGAAAATGGTGTACGTTTCCATATGACATTTAACTTATTAAAAGAGTACATATATTTTATCAGTAATATTTCTTTGTGCTGGAAGGGAGCAGGCAGTGTGGAGCCTGTTGTGTCTTGTAGCTTGTTAGTGAGTTATATGATACACATTTTATGAATTGATATCAAAATACTATATTTACTTGCAGATCTTTTCTTCCATGTATGCATAGGATTTAATGCAGAGGTTACTTCTATTAACTTACCTGGATAAAAATGCCTTTTTTATTGATGATAGTGTATCATGAGGGATTTTTATTGTGTGACCATGAGCAGTTTAATAAATGTAGGTAAATAGTTCTGAATGAAGTTATGAGGAAGTAACTAATGTAGGTTATTTTCCATATTTAAACAATTTTCAATTTTTAAATTTTTTTATACTTTTAGAATTTTTTCTTTGGCTTCTTGATTTTTTCAAAATAGTTTGTAATATTGAAAAATGTGGATTAACTTCTTTATGTCATAATTTTGTTGCAATTATCTGCTAATAATGAGGATAGTATTATAATGTTATAAAATATTAGTTAATTATATTAACGAATACAATATTAAAAGTGTTGAAAACATTTAGTTTAAAGTAATTTTGTGAAAATAGCAAAGGCAATGCAACTTTGTTGAAGTAAATACTCAGCAGTAGGGTAAATTTTTAGCAAAGGCAGTATATTTTGTTAAGGGTCATTTAATTGTTTGGTGGGATGTAACTTATTCGTTACATTTTCATATTTCTTTGAAGTAATACTCTTGAGTATATGTGTGTGAGTGTAGTTTCAAGATTAAACTATCTCTCATAAATATTCTGATATAACTGTTGGAAGTGTAGCTTTAACACTTCAGCTATTTTTGTTGCCAACTTCTTTCGTAATAAACAACACTAAACAAGATGTAAATGAATTAATTGATTTACAGTGTAATTTGTGTTCATAATATTATATTACAGTGCATTTAATTTAATGTCTGGATTTATTTTTTAATTGTTTGTTAAAATTGAAAGTGAAATTAACTGATACGTTTGTAAAAAAGAGTATAATATATTTTTTTCCCATGTATGAAATTTTAAAGTGACTGTTGCAAGAAAAGGGGATTGAAGTGTGTATTGTGATGAATCTGTAGGCAATGAATTTCTGATATTATTTTGATATAAAAATATTAAATTCAGTTTTAAAGTATCCCAATTAACATGATAAAACTACTTGAGATCTGGAAGTTCTTTTCCAAATTGTTTTTGGAAAATTAGTTGTGCGTTTTTCTAAAATTTTGAGTGCTTGGTGGAGAAGTAATATGGCAAACATTCTTTAAGCATACAATTGGATTGTTCATTCATCATTATTGCACAAATTCAAAAATAATATTAGAACAAGGATTATAAAAATATCTTATTTAATGTTTGATGTGTTTCTGATGTAAATTCTATAAATTTATATTGAGTTCATGTTGTGAAAGAAAAACTTTGCTTTTTTTTTTTAATGAAGTCAATGACCTATCACTGCCAAACGCACTTGTGAAATTATATGCTTTTTACTATAATACAAAGTACTGCCTTGTGTGTAAATTACATATTTAAAATATATCAATATACATTTTTTAGATAATACTGTTATATTACTTCACTTAGATATTAAATTTGTAGAGTGATTGGTAAGAAATCCTTTTAATAAGAGGGAATGGATGCAAGTAAATTTAGTATTAAGATACAAATCACCAGTTGTCCTTGAACGCATACTTACGGAAAATTCTTATATTTTTGTGTATTCATCTTGTGCCCATAGAGGAAATAATACAAATATAATTCTTCTTTCTATAGATTGTCATATTTTGTTCTTGCCTTTCATATTATTCTCGGATTGTGATGCAGAAAATTTGAGTTTGTGTTGTGTAATTTTCTTGCAATGGTGTACATTTCTACAAGTAAACCATTGTTTCATGAGAGTAACTGTTTTGAACCAGTTACGCTTATTTAGAGATGAGTAATAATGGGAAATTTAATTGCTTAACTGCAGTGTTGCTTTAAATGTGAATTTTGTATTTATCTGCATTACAATTTTCCTTATTGTATTTTTGTGAATATTTATGTTGGTATGTTGTGTAAAGAATAATTGACTTAATAAACTGATTTTGTTTATACCGAATTTGAATGTGTTATACATTCAGTTTGTTTGTTTGTGAGAATAGTACTAAGTTGCTTCTCATCGGAAGCAATTTGTATTTTAAATTCATTAGAAGAAATAGTTATGTTCTAAAATAATAATAATAAAATAATTATTTTTATAATAATAACAATACTCAGAGTTGGAGAAAATACTTTAAATTAAATATTTAAATACTTTGCCGAAATACTTTGTAAATAAGTATTTACAAAATACATACTCCAAATACCATTAGGTTTTGAATATGCATACTACAGTAAATACAATAATTTTGCATTATAACTTCTTTATTGGAACAGCATATTGTAATTGTCAATTACAATATATTACTAATTGATAGTGATCAGCTCAGCTTAATTTGTTTATCTAAAGTGATTTTGATCAATATTTTTATGTGATTTTTCTTTGTTTTTTGGGCATTTTTAAAGCATTTTATTGATCATTTTTGGCAATGTTTTAGGTCATCAAAATCCACTTCCTAGTCATCAGTAAGGTCCTCATTGCGTATACACTACCTCCACCTCAGGAGAGACTC